GTAGTGGACTAATTAATCTTGTGAAAGAAACTCAGAGGCAGTCAAGTGCTGAGAGGGTGGTATAACTACTTTAGGGAGCTTTTAGTCAGCTGTACCTTCAAAATCAAGAGTAAAAAGACCAGCAGAATGATTTTAAAAGTTTTAAGGTTAGCCAGAAAGAAAGCTCCAGTAAAGTTGCATGCCACAAAGAAGGAACAGAGCAGAACATGGTTGCCTCAAAGATACAGAACAATAGAAAAGATGACCTGAAAGTACCACAAGAACCAGTGGGATACCACCCTTTTCACCCTCAAGACTGCAGAGACTATGCTTTGAGAAGAGAGACCCCAGAGTACCATGCTCCAAAATGGTGGCACCCTAAAGAATTAGTTCATCAAGACTGAGTTCATAGTACACAGTAATGTAGGCACTTGACCCCTTTCGTCAAAAGAGAGGAATCCTGGCTCCTGCTGCAGCTGTGGAAGACCCTGGCATTATCTATGCAATGCTAGCTTTAGGTGCATGCAGAATGCAAGAGTTGTGGGGTTAGAAAGGCTTCCACTCAGATTTTAGAAGAAGACTTGGAAAGCCAGGCAGTGTATCTGAGAGGGCAATGAAATTGTGTGTAGCCAAAGACACCAGGGAGACCCCAGAAAGTTGAAGAAGCCAGGAATGTGGATCATTTGAGCAAAGCTCCAAGGAGTGAGCAAAGCCAGCCCAAAAGAAAAGCCATGAGAGCTGCAACTGCCCATAGTACTATGGCACAGCCATGCAAGCTCTTTGGAGTTCATATCTTGCCATTGATAAGTCTAGATCCTGGATATGGAACTGTGGAATTTAATGTTTGCCATTCTGGATTTTATGCTTACTTTGGTTCCACTCTTTTCTATCCCCTTTTTGGAATGGAAATATTTAACCTGTTTCTGGAAGTGTTGGAACTAAATAACTTTCTTTTCATTTTTACAGGGGCTGGCAGGTAATTTTGTCTTAAAATTCAGACAATACTTTGGGTTTCAACTTTTCAGTAATACTAAAACTACTATGACTTTAGCAACTCTTAGTGACTAAATGCCTTTTGCATAAAATCATGCACATAAGTCTTTTGGGTGCCAGGAACGGAATGTTATGGCTTGTATGTAGATGTCCTCCCCAAAGCCTCATGCACTAATAGATGAGGCCTTTTAAACCTGGCTGGATCTAGGGTGTGTGATTGTGGGCTAGGATGTGTGATACTGGGATTAAGGATTTGGATAATGACGTGTGTGAGTGGTGCCAATCAGTAGGCTGGTGGTGTGGATGGAATATAAAGGGTCAGAAGAAGGCAGGCTTGCTGCTGTTGCTGCTAATGATGATGATGCTGCTTGTTATTGTGCTGTTTCTTATTCACCAGATCATGGACTGTTTCTGAATATTATGATGTCCCTCTGCCATGTTTTGGAGCCAGCCAACTATGGAATGAAAGCTCTACAAACTGTGAGCCAAAATAAACTCTTCCTCCTTTAAAAAAAAAAATACCTGCTCCATGTTATGTCTAAGATGTTTGATATCCAGACAGATAGTGAGGTTAAACCCAACTGCCTATGTTATAGGGTAATAATATGATTAAGCTTCTCCTCTGCAGGGTTAAAACCTAAGTATTCAGACTAAAAATTAGGGGAAAAGAATGACTACAAGAAGAGCCAACATCTTGGCCCTAGCCATTCAAGATCAGTGAGGACTCAGGACATATAAGAACCTTTACTGTAAAATCCTGGAACTCAGTGGTGTCCCAAATTTTCTGTTCAAAGAGATTATGGGGCATTAAGGGAAAGTGATCAATGATGTATAATTCACCTAAGGAGAGTAACCTAGAGGGAAAACATTCTCTCAGACTTTCACAGAGAGCAAAATGGTCACACAATGGCTATGATTTATACACATATTTGACACTGGCAAAGGATCTACAAACTGCAGTACAGGGTTTCAGGGTAAATCCTAAGGGCATTTGACTGACTTTGCCAGATACAAAAGTTACATTTCTTGTTATATAGGTCTGCTTTAACTTGTTCTTAACCATCCAGTAGAAAAGTATAAAAATGAAGTAGAAAAAGTAAAGCCATATTAATAGGCTAAACTGTAAAAGACTCGTCAACAACTTCTGACATTGCCAGTCCTACAGATAACCCACTACTATTGTGGACTACTGGACTATATTGGATTATTTTGCTGAATTTACATACTTACAATATTTAAATGGCAATGAAATATCCATCTCTGCCAAAACTAAACAAAAAAGAGGATGCAAATGAATGAACATTTTTTATCTGTATATACAAAATGGTTATTTTGTATATAGAGCTATTTTCTCTTAATTCAATGAGAAGGAAGATTTGTACTAATAGTGTTTGGACAGAATATCATGTCTGCATATTGTACTATGAATAACCACTAGGAAGACAACAATATTAATTATTGAAACTGTCCTACTAATCGATTTTGAAACTCTTTCATTGCTATTTGTTTCTCAATAAATTTAATTTTAAAAGACATTTTATATAAGACTAGAAACATATGAGCAATATATAACAGGTAAACCCTATATTGGATAGCATACTGAGATCAAGTTTTTTTTTAGATTGTTTACCAAGTGTCAGTCAAAATATTCCTTAGCTTTAATATGTTTTCCACAAAAGAACTCTTTAATAAACTTTTGGATGACTTGCAAAATGACATTAAAACATTGTTTTTTATTCAGAGATGGACTAACAACTGTGAAGCCCATTTACATTTATTATAAGCAAGGTGGAAAAAATGTACTAGGTATATTATGTTGAAGTTCTTAAAGTAGTTGATCATTTTATTGTTGCTATTTTTCATACTGTTAAGACTCTAAAAGAAAATAGTGATACTTAAAGTGGAAAAACTTGGAGAATGGCATTCTGTATATTGTATGACATATTATGCACTTGTTCAAAACATTTTGAAAAGCAAATTGCTGCTCTGACAAGCAATCTGGTAACATCTGTTAAAATTCAAAATACTTATTTTACTTTGGAGAATCTTCCCCTTGGAAAATGTAGCCTCACTACACAAAGCACAAATGAACATAAGCATTTATTGTAACATTTCTAATGGCAAAAACAAGGACAGTGCAATTTCACTAGAATATAGTTAAATGCCTATCAAAAGTTAAATTGGGAGAAGGAACTATCTACATTATATCTGTTCCATAGACTGTTTAGACAACAATTAATGTGGAAAACTAAAATTGTGCTCCTGGAATTAAACTACAGAATGCTTTCTTTGGTAGAAAAAAGGGAGACAGATGATAGTGTAAATGCTTTCTTTCATAAAAGAGTAACAGATATCTCTAGGTGTTTCTGAATTTATGTTATGGGTGATTTTATATGAATGGAGAAAAGTATTGAAAATTTTGTACTGAGTTGAGGGGAGGTGAATGACATAGGTAGTTTACAAGAGAGTTGGAGGGGTGAAAGGAGAGACCAAAAAAGTAAATGACTGGACAAAATACAATACCACAAATACATTTGGAAACCAAAAGTCTGACAGATCGGAATTGAAAGTGGACAGCACACTGCTGCAACATAAGCAAAAAGACTTGAAAAGCCACTGATCCATGGAGGAGTGGTATCAAACAAGCAGCCGAATAAATGTTCAATTAGTCATGGGGAAATTTAAATCTGCCGATTTTGTTACTTCTGCCAAAATATCTATCTCCTATTTCCTATTATCTATCCTTTATATGTGCCTTATTCATGCTTCACGTTTCTCATATAGGAAAAAGCATGAAACATCAATCTTGTGTACTTGATCTAATCTCACAATATTATGGTCTCAAAGTGTATTCACTTTCTTTCAAATAACTTGCTTATTTTTCTCTACAGAAAGAGAAGGAGAGAGAAAGGAGAGAGGGAAAGTTAAGGGGATGAAGAAAGAATGAAGACATTATGTATATTCACCAACTCCTCACTAAGAATCATTATGGACTGCACATAATTTGTAAAATCTGAGTTATCCTAAGCATCATCTCACTAAAAAGCAAATAAATGACTTACTTTCAATGGAAGAGGTCCAGTCTTTGTTCTCATGAAAGTAGGATAACAAAGGCAACAATTCCTGGAGTATCAAGTTCAAGGCCACCATACATACCACTCTCAGTCTCTTCTAGTCAGAAGTTGGATGAATGTGAGGAATTATTTCAAAAAAATCTCTCCAGTATGAAGTCATGCAAATTCAGAAGTATACCTCAGTATGGTAAAAAATTAACTATGATGGTTTTTGTCACAGTTACTCTTCTCTCTTGGCTGGGACAAATACCCAACACCCAAAATGAAGGAAGGAAAGGTTTACTTAGCTCACACTTACTGGAAGTTTCAGTCCATACTTGGCTGACTCCAAGGCAAAACAACACATGGCAGAGAGCAACTTTCCAAACAGCAAGACAGCCAAAAGGAGGAGTAGCAGCAGCTCAAGTTGCTAGCTTCTCTTCTTTCCTTACATTGAAATGCAAATTACCTGCTCCAGAGCAGGTGCAGCATCCACACCCACAATAATCAATCACAAACTACAGAAGCGGCCCCCAAGACTGCATGAGGCTTGGGGGGGGGGGTACCTAGACACAAGCCATAACAGTTTTCATTCCATTTCTTCCATAGCATACAAGGTATAACCAAATTATAACAAAAGTATTAGCAGATAAGTATTATTTTAAGGAAAGTAGCAAATACATCAGTACTCTACATGATGTTGTAAATCTCAGGAATGCACATGAGAAAACTTACCACATGTGCATATTTTCACACTTTATGAAACATGCATAGGAAAGAAAAGTCAAAATGGAAATTTCTGAAGGCACTGTGGATAAGGAACAAATAGTATAACATAAAATTCAAAGTCATAGATGCTTTGTGGATACAATAATTTAATGATGTCATTTAGGGAAGAAAAAGATCCAGGATTTGCACATTCACAGCATTTGCTTCAGGGTTCGCAATATCCAGCTAATTCTAGATCAGTGGCCATTAAGGACAAGAGGCTGCTCTGCCAAGGAGTCTTCTCAGGGCCCCCTTCATATCCTTGTTCTTCAGGCTGTATATGAAGGGGTTCAGCATGGGGGTTACCACAGTGTACATCACAGAAGCAACAGAGCTTCCAGGGGAAGAATGGGTCCCAGCAGAACTGAGGTACACCCCAAGTCCTGTTCCATAGAACAAAGAGACCACACAGAGGTGAGAACCACAGGTGGAAAATGCTTTAAATTTGCTTTCTGTGGAGGACATCTTCATTAAGGAGGATACAATCTGAGAGTAAGAGAAGAGGATCCCAGTGATGGAGCACACACCCAGCAAGGCAGTTGACAAATACAACAGGATTATGTTGACATCGGCAATGGCATCAGACCTGGCCACCTTGAGAACCTGAGCCAGTTCACAGAAGAAATGTGGGATTTTAGTGTCTACAGAAAAATTCAACTGCTTCATTAGTAGAACATGAAGCAGGGAGACCAGGAACATGATGAGCCATGATATCAGAACTAAACAAACACAGACATTGGGGTTCATAATGGTCACATATTTCAAGGGACGGCAAATGGCCACAAAGCGGTCATATGCCATTATGGACAGCAGTAAATTATCCATTCCCACAAAAACCAAAAATAAAAATATCTGGGTGAGGCACTCAGTGTACAAAATACCTTTGTTATGTGGGTGAATATTCACCAGCATCTTTGGCACGGTGGTAGAGGTGAAGCAGAGATCAACAAAAGAGAGGTTGGACAGGAAGAAGTACATGGGGCTGTGGAGTTGGGGGTCAGAGCCGACAGCCAGAATGATAAGCAGGTTACCAAACACTGTGATCAGGTACATGAACAGGAACAACCCAAAGAGAATGGGCTGCAGGTCTGGATCCTGTGAGAGGCCCAGGAGAAGAAACTGTGATACTCCTGTGCAGTTTTCTATTTCCATCTCACGCAATATCTGCTGTGACAGAATAAAAATCAATTTTGAAAGCACAGCTAGATATCACCACATTTATTTCCCATTTCATAATGGCATGCATAAAGAGATCACCGCCCCCCTTTCTATTGGTGCCTGCCAATAAAAGTGGTTCACTCAATCAAAGGGTAGCTCATCTCTCTTTCAGATACTTGTGATGATCTTTCACTCTCTTACTGTAACAGAATGTGTTTTATATCACTGATGCATTTGTTTTAATTCTCCTAGTTGAATTCATAAACATAAACAAATTTTACATTCGATATCACCTTTCTAAAATGGGTGAAAACTTTTGTTTATATTTAACTGATAATCTCCATACTTCTTTTTTTTAACATGGATTTTTAACACAAGGAATGTGATTCTATGACCTGGAACTTCACAGAGATTTGAAAGTTAATTTGTTTATCACTGTTATTTGTTCCTAAGATTTAAAAAATCCTTTATCTACTCTAAAAACCTTAATAAATCAAGCTGCTATTACTCATTTTCAAAATTAACTTTGGGTCTTCCAAAGTAACATATACATATGGAATTTTAAAATTGGATTTTTGACTCAGAATTCCTGAGATAAAACGCTAGTCAAGCAAACTAATACATTTGTGGCCTTTCTAATCTGAGCAACAAATTGATGATAAAAATAGATAATATAGCAAGCATTGTTAATTATTTATTCTTGTTTTGAAAATCTATAACAGATGTATTGTTGTATGTTACCCTGTTTGTCTTTTTTTATGTTTTTGCTTCTGTTTTCACTCTTCAAAATAAAATTGAATTAAATTTAAAAAATAAACTTTCTTAGGTGCTATTATGCAACCTCTGTAGCAGGATAGTAGTGTTCACTACACGGTAGAATTGAACGAAATTAAGCGAGGTCATCTAATTTGATCTTTGGTTCCTGGAATACAATGGACATTTCGTACATGTGAACTTTCATTCTTAATATCCCAATAAATGAATCTTGGATGGGCATAACTCAGCAATACTCCCTTAAGCCCTGGCTGCCATCAAGATGGGACTCGGATAATATAAACATTGACTGATTACCTCTTTTGATAACAATGTTTCTGGTTAAGGAAGTTTTTTGATGGCTATTTCCTTCATATAACTCTTGCCCTGGATAACACACAATAAAAAAGATTAATTTAGGCCTAGAAGCCTGCCTCACATAGAAGTGTTTGTTAACAGAATTCATCCCAAATAAAGAAAGTCAATAAATATAAATTCAAACTAAAATCCTAATTGAAAGATGCACCTGAGAAAATTCAATAGGCATGCATTTGCAGAACATCCTGAGCTGAGAATATAAAAGCAAAAAGCCAAGGCTATTTTCATACTGAACAGAAATGATTCTTTTGAAACACTAGGCAAAAAAGTTACATTCTCACTGGAGTATTTGTTTTTAACTCACAATCATGTCAAGAAAATCTCCTTCAATTTCAATCACTTGATATTTATAAGGATTGGTAACATGAAAAAGAAAATATGACAGGATATTTTTCAAGTCATAAATAATAACAATGATGTTAGATGCTATTGAGAAAATAAGTTAAACAATAGCTATAATAACGTAGAAGTAACAAGAGCTATCAGAAAGACAAGTCTGCTGGAAAAATTAGTGGGGAATACAAAATAGAATTCTGGCCGAATTTGGAACAAAGGAGACAATATCTTGCACATGATAGATCTTCGGAGAAGTAGTTAATGAAGAAGAAATTTAACGCAGGAAATATAACCGAAGTCTATTTTTTTATTAGAAAGTATGGAGAAGAGTGAGGAACTCACCAGAAAATGGCTGACATTGAGAAAAGGCTGTAGGCTCCAATGTGGGAGGAAAGGAAACAAAATAATAACTGAAAGGAAGAAGTCTCAGTGGTAACTAAGATTCCTCTAAAGTGCAGGGAGTTCACTTTTACATTGGAATGAAATGTTGGTCTTACCCATTCTCTTTCCCTGTCTTTTCTCCTCTTTTCCTTTGTACTCCACCCACCCTCACAAAGATACACTATCTCTCTTTCACTAATGGTTACCACAGGTGCTTCTCATCTGTTCCCAGGAAGCCTGATTGTTGAAACCAGAGAAGCACAGACAAAGGGAAAAGGATATTTCTAGTTCCTACTTCCTAACATTATGAATCCTTACAGATCCTAATTAAATATATTGTAACATTTTTTCCATTCTCCAAATAATTCCGCTCCCTTGGGATACAAGGAAGATGCAAGAAGGGAAAATGTTCAGTCTATTTGGAGGCTATGTAGGTAGCAGGCAGAGAGCTAAATTTATTTCCTCCAGGGAAGTACTTTGTTTCTTTAATTTGATTCAAAAGACATAGGATTTACTCTAAGCTATGTTCAAATTATTCAAGGTATTATCCACAGGTAAAAATTTTTTAGAAAAGAAAACATACTGTGATACACTCTTTAGAAGACACTTTGAAGATTTTTCTGAATCATTTGGGGACCATAATATTATGAAGGAAAAAATTCCTCTTTAATTATATCAGTCTTTAACTTTTCAAATTTATTTATTTTTATCAGATAAAATGGTATGTGTTTATCATGTACACTCTGATGTTTAGAAGTATTATTCATTATGCAATGGTTAAATTTAGAAAAATAACAAAAATATATCACCTCACATAGTATTTATTTTTGTGGGTGGAACACTTATCCACTCATAATTATTCAAATATACAACATACCATAACAACTATACTCATTGTGCTTTAAATTTGTCTTTTTAAAATTATTCCTCATATCTAACTGGAATTTTTTATCCTTTTCCCAACATTTTGCTAGCACTGTGAATCTCTGTTAGGCTTTATTTCTAGGAAGTCAGGTTTATAAAATATACATATTAATCAGACCATTAAGTATTATCTTTCTGCACTTGACCTATTTCATTTAATACATTTTTCCTAATTCATCCATGTTGATGTAAATTCTCTCTTTCTCTTTCTCTCTCTCTCTCTCTCTCTCTCTCTCTCTCTCTCTCTCTCTCTGTATCTCAGTCTCTTTCTGTTGATGACAGATGTAGATAGATAGATAGATAGATAGATAGATAGATAGATAGATGATAGATAGATAGATAGATAGATATTATATATATTCATATTTTAAAAATTTGCTTCCCCATTCCCAGATAGATATAATATATACACCAACCATTGTGAAAACTGAGTCAGTAAAAATCCAACTGCAGGTACATTATTGCTTTTATCCATTTATTTTATTTTTATTTTTAAGAGTACATGTTTGCAGTACATGCTTCCTTATGTGGCTATGACCTATTTTTTATTAATTTTATTGAGAAATGGCAGTGAGACAGTTTCAAAACCGATTAATAGGACAGTTGCAATATTTAATACATTGCATATTGTTACTTTCTTAGTGGTTATTCATAGTAAAAGATGCAGACATGATATCCTGTCCAAATACTATTAGTACAAATCTTTCTTCTAAATGAATTAAGAGAAAGTAGCTGTATATCTATCCTAACTATTTTGTATATACAGATACAGTATGGTCCTTCCTTTGTATCCCCTCTTTTTGTTTATTTTTGTTAGAGAAGGGTATTCCATTGCCATTTAAATATTATAAGAGTGTGAATTAAGCAAAACAATCCAATATAGTCCAGTAGTCCATAATATTAGTGGGTTACCCGTAGGACTGGAAATGTCAGAAGTTGTTTACTTGAGCCTATTGATTTTATCTTCTTTTACCTTCCCTCTGTATTAAGATTGTTGGATCCTGTTTTTATTTAATTTACAATTTTAAAGACATTTTCTCTTTAAAAATTATTAGTATTTGTTTTTCATACATACCAAATACACTATGAGGAATTTGTGCCTATACATATAGAACCTTGATCATTTTACTTTCTCTTCCTCGTCCCTCCTTCCTGTCTCTTCCATCTTCATATCCTTTCTCATTTCTATGTCTATTTTTCTGCTTCCCATCATCATCAGTTTTGCTCATTGTATACTTATAGAGATCTTCCATTTCCTGATTTACACTAATTCCCAAGTCTGTAATGATTCTAAGGCTACTGTAAATGTGATGTTCCTTCTTTTCCAATGGGTTCGTTGTTACTATACAAGAACGTTATTGAGTTTTTGGTATTGATTTTGTATCCTGTCACTTTTTAAATTTGCTCATCAGTTCTCAGACTCTTCTAGTGGAGCTATTGTGGTCTTCAATGTAAAGGACTATATCGATGATGCATAAGGATCATTTGATTTCTCCCTTTCCTGTACGTGTCCATTGTATTTCTCTTGACTAACTGTTCTCACTGCTTTTGAATTCTATATTCAACAGGAAGGGTAAAAGAGACACTCTTTTCTTCTTCCTGAACTTAGTGTGAATTCTTTGTAGTTTTCCCCCACTTAATGTGATTCAGGTGAATTTTTCATAACTGGCTTTTATCAGTTTAAGTGAAGGTCTTATGTCTTTTTTAGAATTTATAGTTAAAAATAGACCTTGAACTTAGTCAAAGGATTTTTATACATACACTGAGAGAAATATAGGATTTTTATTCTTGTTTCTTTTGTGTGATATATTATGCTTATTGATTTAGACTTGTTAAACCATCCTTATATCCCTGGATGATGCCAAATTGGTCATGGTACATGATCCTTTTAATCTTTTAGTGTATTCTGTTTACAAGTATCCATTTGTGAATTTTTTATCTGTGTTCATAAAGGAAACAAGATTGTGGTTTTCTTTTTTGTTTGGTTCTTGTCCAGACATCCAGGCATGGGATCACAATGCTTGCTTTCAGGAATGAGTTCAATAATGTTTTATCCTTTGGCTTCCTAGGAGAATTTAAGGACAATTGGCATAGAGTTTTTCCTGAAGTTCTAGACATATAGATCAATAGGTAGGTAAATGGATAGATGATAGAGATAGATAGATAGAAGATGATAGATAGATAGATAGATAGATAGATAGATAGATAGATATGTATAGGTA